ACCATTTCATCAAATATTAAAAATCAAACAAGAAAAATGAAATGAAAGTATGCAACAATTTGATGGATTTTTTTTTTTGATTGCATTGCCTTTTGCCACACAAAAATCTTGTGTGTTTGACTGGTAGAGCCAGCCTATAAATAAACGAATGATAATGGAGACAGTGAGATCAAGAAACCATACATCAAACATGAAACTACTTTTATTAATACATTGTAGTTTGATTGAAGAACCCACTATATATTCATTTGTGATCGTTTTGAAAAGTGAAAGTAAACCAATTAAAATGTCAAGGATGTTGTACAGCCTATTGTGATCCATTCTAGCCTGTCATCTTTTGGGTGAGCATTTGTAAAAAATCTTTATCATTTTTAGTTTCCTCTCAATTTTTTTTAAATAGTGTTTTTGGGTGAAGGGAAACAAAACATGAATTCTGTGGCTCCCACACATCTGGGGCCCGTGAGGTAGGGTCAGAACCATAAAAAAAAATAATATAAACTAATCCTATCTTTCAAATCTTATTGCTAACTTCTGAACAAACAGTAGGCAAATGATTATAAATAGTTAGTCCTAGGTCTCAGATTCATGGCCAAAAGTGGGAACAAGTTGTTGAACATAAATTGAAAATGCAGTACACCTTAGAAACCCTTTTTTCCCTACTTCTTCACACGTTGAAAACCCTTTTTTTTTCTACTTCATCATATGGCCCTGCCATGAATATGGCCGGGGCATGTCCTCTTCCGTCCTTCCATCTTTCTGTCCTTTTTTCTTTCCATCCTTCTTTCTGTCCATCCTTCACACTCTGCATTTAGATCAGTATCAAAGAAACTATCCAAGGTATCTTTATCAAACTTCATATGCTAATACATATTGGGCTATTCAACTACATCGACATTTTGGACCTTGACCTTTCCTTTGACCTAGACCTCACTTTTCCTAAATTTGTGTTTAGCTCAGTTTTAAAGAAACTATTCAAAATCTTTTTATCAAACTTCATATGCTGATACATATTGATGAAAGCTATTCAACTGCTTCCAAAAATTTTGACCTTGTCCTTCCCTTTGACCTTGACCTCAATTTTTTGTAAATTTGCATTAAGCTCAGTTTCAATGAAATGATTCAAACTATTTTTATCAAACTGATACATATTGATGAGAGCTAATTCAACTGCATCAACATTTTTGGACCTTGACCTTCTCTATGACCTTGAACTTACTATTCTGAAATTTTTCCTAGCTCAATTCCAAAGAAACTATTCAAGATATTTTTATCTATAAACACAAATATTCTAATATATATTGGTAAAAACTTATCAACTAAGTCCAATATTTTTTTTTTTTACCTTGACCTTCCTAAATGATTTTTGACTTTACTCTTTGTTGTTTTTAAAACTCACACTCAAAGAAGTACTCAAGATGTTTTCTTCAAACTTCATACACTTTTGACAACATGGGTAAGTTGGTCATATATTGAAAAATTCACACCTTTTATGTCTTTTTTTTAATAGAACTTTTGCATTGTGACAGTGAGCAAATGAATCCTTCACAAAAAGATTTAATTTATGTCCCTTTGGGTAAGGTCCAAGGGTTGAGCAAAGTTTATCATTCAGTAGATATATGCCTTGAAAAAGTCTGTACTCTGAGAATCCAGCAAACTTCATGTAGTATTAGTCCCCTGTCTTATCCGTTGAGGTGCTGTAGGTTCAGTCCCAGTTAGGGTAATGTCATAGCTTGAGAAATTCATGATAATTATATTTTTGGTAGAATGATGGTGGTAAGAGATTCCAGTACTGATTAAAAAATCATGCAGCTTCTTTAATAGTGTTGTGTTATTTTAGCTTCATTAATGAAGGGTTAGAAAAAGTCATTATACTCAGGTGAACATTTAGACCCTTGGGCTTCTTGTTTTAATACCTTAACCCTGCACATCTCTTGGTTTATTTCAGTTTTCTGATTAATGGTAATGATTGGTGGAAAGCTAGTGGGGGGATGACATGGCATTAAAACTGAGTTAAGTAGTCATATATTCACGTCTTTTTGATATATACAGTATCATATGCACTAGAATAAATTATAGGATCTCAGAATTTTTAAAAAGACTTGGATGTTATGTGTGTATATTTTAACTAGTGGAGTTATTTTTTTGCTATTTGTATTCAAATAGATGTATGTATGTTGATCAATAGCAAGCTTGCCAAAATAGATTGTATAAACTTGGAATTTCATTTGCCATAGTATTGTAAGTTAATGAGAGTATGAATTAATAGACATCATTAATTACATAGTAATTGTGGCAAAAAGTTGTAAATGATTTGTAAATCAAGTGCATAGATTGGTCTCTTGGTTCTCGCCTCAGTTCAAGGATTTGACAAATTACCCTTCCTAATGGATTTGATTAATAATTAAATAACCCCAGAAAGGATGGTAGAGTTTAAAAAATCTAGTAAAAAAGGTGAACAATTGATAGATAACTTTCATTGTTCTTCAAGGGTCCTATGAATGGATCAGTTATAGGACAAACATCCTCCTGGTCTTCTAATTGTAATGGCCACACAGAACATAGAACTCCAATAAATCTTTCATTTCTGGAGGTAATGGCTGCATTTATCAGATTTCACTAATTATTCAAGTATGTATGGAGTGGATGGTAACTGTCTTGTATCAGATTTATGCTAGGTATAAAAGAACAGGTTTTCTAAAGTTCTCCCACTAAATTAATTAGTGAATTACCAAGAGAACAACTTTCAGACTCCAGATTTCTAGTTTACGATGCTATTATCAGAGTGTAACAACAGCCTGCTACATGATGATAAGGAATTACAGGAATGGTCCCTGGTATACGATGATGTACACTTTATTATAACTGATATCAGAACTCTTGTTCAAATCTGTGAAAAAGAATTTTTCCTGCAAATCTAGCAACTATGCCCACACCTGAAACTGAAAATAATTTAGGGTTTAAATATGTTTTTGTCCCAATTTTGAAGTGTCGAGATAAACAACAAAACAAGTAACTAATTTCCTTGTCCATCTAATTTTCATCAATTAATTATGATACAATATGAAGAGCTTGGTTGATTGCCTGTGGACGCAGCCAAGGAATGCTTTAAATTTCAAATTATGTATTTCTTATTAAAATATGTAATTTATGTTAAAAGATCACTAAAGATAGATTCTGAAATGACAGATGTGTTTTTTATTGATAGATGTGTATGCAGGGAAGCTGATAACTGACATATTTATGGAAATGAAAAGGAAAATAAAAAACCTAAATAGCAAAATTCCACCAGTAACTGAAGCATTAGGGTCAAGATCAACATTTTTAGCAATGCAGAATAAACATGTAATAGGAATATTTGATTGGAAGAGAAATTTTTACTTTTTGTGCCATTCTTGCATATTTTTAACTGACTTTTTGGTCAACCATAATTTTTAACTCTACTGGTCAGAAACAGAACTTGTGCAGTAGTAAGGTGTCTGTCATCCATCCGTCTGTCTGTCTGTAAATAATTTTTCAAAATGCTACTCCTCCTACAGTTTTGGTCAAATTTTAATATAACTTGGAGGTACTACCATCAGCTTTGACATTGACCTTTGACCTTGAGATTGGTAATGAAATGTTTATATCTGTAGAGGATGACATTGAATGATAATAACTGAACTTTTATATAAAGGAAAATGAGATGATTTATTTACCACTTGGTACATGTACTACCATGAGAGTTTAACTGCCTTGGCATTTAAGATCACTATAGGTAAATTCAATATATTCATCTCTGAAGATTTTACATTTTATTCTTGTAAGAACAAAAGAATCTCCCTTTATAGGTACATGTATATTTTTAGATTGGAAATTATTTTCATAAGATGTTTTAGATTCTAAGTTCCACACAGACCAACTTCTTACATAGTAAATGTAATTATACAATGATTAAGTTATAAATCCCACTTTCATTTAAAACATGTAGCTCAGATCATCTTAGAAAACTCATAGAATATCCATCAGTATGTAGTTTGACATAATTTTACAAACATAACATTAACAAAAATGTACATTAACACAAATTATGCTTTTCCGTTAATCAGAAACTTCACAACCAAGATATGACATGATATTCATTTGTCTGTAATATGGAAACAGTATATACAGTTGAACTTCCATATCTCAATATCTCCAAGTCGATATCTCAAATACCATGGATGAAATGTAAAGATAACAGTTATCCTGCTCAAAAGTCCAATTAATCAATACAGATTGTGAGCAAAGTGAACATTAACCTCTGAAAACAGAGGTGGTTTAGGTGTCATGGAGGAGTGAGCATCTCCTGACAACTTGCTGTGTGCCCCTTGTCATTATCAAGTAAATGGAAAAATACATAGACAATGCAGTGTGGTAGAAAATATGTCAAAGTGAGTTTGAAGTTCCTTTCTCTTTATGTATTTTTACCTCAATGTCTCAAACTCCTGGATATCCATTTTTTTCTGGTCCCATCAAGTTCAAGATAAGGAGGTTTGACTGCATATGCATAATGTTCTTCACTAGTGATTGTTTGTGTATTTACTAAGCACAGTATGTGGTTATCATGTGACAAATCTCCTATTATCTATCCTATCACTTTAATGGTTCAAAATTGTCAGCTGTCTGAATAATGAAGGGCATAACATTACTGTAAGAGTGAAAATATAGTAATAAAGTTAATAAATGCAATGAAATTCAAATGAGCCAATCACCATAATGAATCAAAATGGACCAATCCCCTTCATGGAATTCTTGGAGCCAATAGGGAGTACACAAAAATCATGGAAGTAAGAAGGAGACAGTGTTGATTAATGAACATTTTGTCCCACACTCCATCACAAATTGACGTTTATTAGACGCAATATCAAAAATAGGACAGGTTTCTCAGCCACATTTTATTACAATTAACAAAAACAATGATTGACATAGGAAATGATGATTACTTCTTCTATGATTGTAAATCCTCTTTTTGGTATTTTCAGATGGATCAAAGTATCTTCACCAAGTGATAAGTCTGTGTAAAATACCAAATGATATAGGATAAAGGTAAGAAAAGATTGTTATGTAGGATGGGTTGATATTTGTGTTTTGAGCATAAATGGTAATGTATGTAGGAAACATGACGTCATTCCTGGAATTAATTTGGTAGTATAAACATATAGGTTTTGTCATAGAAGTATGTCATTCATTATCAAACACAAAAACAATATCAAGGACAATGATATTTCATGCATTTAAAAGCATCACTGATAGCTTCAGTGTTTTTGTTGAAATGCTAATATTTTGTTAATTTTTTTTTTAGTTTATGAGGTTGGTATGACTTAATACAGTCTATTTTTATTCTCTATAAAAGTTTCATAGGAGTTAAGGTGTGCTGGAATTGGTCATTGTGTGTGCTGTAAATTTTATTGCTCTTGCTCCAGGGGAATGACATTCTTCTCCAGTGAACTAATCTTCAAATTAGAAATGAATTAGTTTAGTAGATTGTAATTGTAATTACTAAACAAATTATTTTTTCTGTCAACATAAAATACTACTTCCTCCCAGACTTAAAGGGAACAGATACTTTCTATAAATCAGAAGTACTTGTGACACTAATAGGAGGTCCACAATGAAGGCATCATAGGCTAACTGATAGCCAAGGAGTCAATTCATTAAGGCAAAAATGTGGAAGTTTCCAAAATGATAAAGTGTAAAATAAAAAATCCTTACTTATCAGCATTAATCTGTCAGAGAGACCCCTGCCATAACAATAGGTCAGATCAACTCCCACTGTTTATTGGCTAGATTTCCACATATCCTCAAGTTTGGGTCTAATAGCTGATAATTCCACACAAACAGTTGATAAGGGGGACACTGTTCTCTCTATCTAATCTGTGCCTGGGAGAAATAATATTAAACATTGAAGAAACATATATTTGGTGACTCACATCTTGTGTCATTTACAGCAACAAACACCTCAGTACTCCAAGCTAACTTATCTCTAAAGCATACCTGAAATTAAAATTTCTCAAAAACATTTGAAATAGTTGTCTGAAGTTGTTAGCCTTTTTTTTTTTTTTGGAAAGGGGGGGGGGGTATATGTATGTAAATTTCAAATATGTTTTTAAAATCCAAACTAAATAGGGAAGATAGACTTGTATAAACTCTTTGACTTTCTTGAGTTTATGCAAGTTCAGAAGTACCGGTAAATGATATGTCTCTGTAACTTACACTTTTGAGTAGAAGAAAGATTTCTGTGCTATGTAATAAACTGTGTTATACAGCTGAACTATGGTATCTCGAACCATGGACATGTCGAAGTGACTTGGAAGTCCCAGCCACTTGCTCTTTAAGTATTTTACCCTTGATATCTTGAATCCTCAGATATCTCGGAAGTTTTTTTCTTGGTTCCATTGAGTTTGAGATAATGAGGTTTGACTTTATAAAATCAGTTTTTGCACAGGAGGACAATAATGTAATTTTGCTTTACTCAGAGATTCTAAATAGTTTTATCCATACAAATATAATTAACCTTCTTTTTTTTCTGTCATTAAAAAAGTAAATTAAATTTTTACAACACAAAAATTCTGCACTCACTTTGGCAACCTTTAAGATGTATATATATTATTGAGTTTAAACAGGTGAACAAGGTCAACAGATCACTATTGTTTTTTTATGTGCGTGTTCATAGCTTTATCTTACAGGTTCAAATAAAAAGCAGTCTGTTATAAGGATTGTGTAAAATGCTTTAAATCATCTAAATTACTTATTTCTGTGTAACTGTAAACAAGGGATTAATCCAATGTAATTTGCTCTCTGTTTATAAATCACTGATGTAAAATATTGGGGCTCTCAAGTTATTTCTTGGAGACCTTGAATGAAAGCACCTTCTTTTCATCATGGTTCATGCCAAAACATCCATGTCTTGGTGAGAGAGATTCTCTTTTTTCAATTAAACACTGGCAAATATCTTGTTGCTTATAAATGTTCAAATTATAAAACATTTATGTCTCGTATATCATAACACAACATAATTCCCTTATTGTTAGGAAGGAGCATTTATTTCCTTATCTCTGTAATTCAAGTTTGACAAGGGACCAGGCTGTCTCCTATACTGATCCAATTATGAACTTTAGCAGTCTAAGTGTGCTGTATATAGTGTCTATAGATATACTTACAGAATTGTTCACCAGCAGTTCCACTGACGTGATAAGTATATTGCGAGGATATTATGATATTTTTTTCATCAGTGTTAGACCTCTTGACTCTTATTTTGAAAAATGATAGTATTTGACCTTCAGAAAGGGGAAGGCCATAATAGTTACAGGTATAATGAAATACCAGCTATTATAGAGTAGAATATATTATGCATTTCTTTAACTATGGATAATATCAGAAATTATTGAGAATTACATGTAAAACATTGATTGTCAAACAATAGAAGGAGTTAGGGGCCAGTGTTTCATATTATCTTCTAATAACTGCCTTGCTAATTGTAGGATATTTTTTTAGTAATTTCAAATTTATGTGATGAATATCTCCCTGAAAAATTATTATCTCCATATTATTTAATTCCTAAGACAGCTAGTGATCACTTGTTTTAGGTACAGAGCAATTTCTGCTGATGACAGATTAAAAATGGTAAACATTTAGCCTTATAGGCAGAAAATGGAGAAAATTTACAACTTGAGATAAAGCAATTATTTGCATTTATACATGCCATAATTTGTGACTGAAAATAAAGGCAATAAAGGGCCAATTTCAGAGGCTAGTCTGAGTGATTGATTGTACATTAGGATTTCTATATCTTATAGCAGGGCTATGAATAAATACTTCGTGGGGGTAAAGAGTTTGTGCCATTTTGTGAAGTGGGGAGACTTGTAAAATCAGGGGAAGTTGTCCCACAGATACAATTATAGTATCTGTGTTGATTGTTTGCACTGCAGTTTAAACATGAAGTGTTTTGTCTTTGTACTTTGTCATACCTGTTTACTATTTTTACGACATCTTACATAATTTTTAAAAATCAATGATATATGGAAAGGTTCCTTTTTTGTGTGTCTATAAATATTCGCTAGCTCTTTAATGTTGTGTAGGAGTGCATACTTTAACTTTCATCTTTTAAAGATTTTTCAGTGTGATTTTTATAGATGGCCATCTCGAAATTTAAGGTGTGTTTTACAGAAAAATTTTCAAATTTTTTCAATTGTAATGCACATTGTATATCATATTTCAATATTACGCTCCTTTAAATTACAGAATAATTATGTGATTTTTCAAAAGAATTTCTCCTGAATCAATTATATTACAATACTTTAACTCTGTTTTTAGTGTCTGTATTTATTTATCTGCACCTCTCCTATTCGGAGTACACCCAATGTTATGTGTGAACAGGATCTTACACCTGTTTAGATGTTCTTATTTATTGAATTGTTTTCAGTGTGCATTGAGAAAGAAGGATTACTAAGTGCATGCATATGTACCCAAAAACAATATTTACAGAGTAATTTAAGCAGTGATTCAATTTCATCCACGGTTATACAGATTTTTCTCTGGTTTTATAAGGAGAAATTTTGCAATTGTAAGCCTTTTTAAACTGGTACACTTTTTCTTTGTACACATTTCTTTTTTTTTTTTTTTTTTAGTAGTGCATTTGTGCTGTGTACTTTTTTTGGTGTGATTGCCCTGTTGGTTTTGTGAACAGTGTAAATATAAGTTGAGGAATGTTGAACATGGTCATAATATTGATCTGAATGAGATGATGAATAGGTGTGCAGTCCCTGGCTAAGTTTGTCAAACACAATCTTCTTTGTTCAAGTGTTATAAGGGGTCTTCTGTAATATATTTTAAGAGTCTGCTGAAATAGAAGTTTGACTAATGTCCAAAACCCACAAATGGCTTTTTTCCAAGCTAAGAGTTCAAATTTACAGCAGCACAATTATCATTCTTCATGTTCTTATGAGGAACAATTGCCAGGTTCCATATAAAGCCATTTATTGGAAATTTTTATGGGGATATATACGTATTGTTCCAATATATCAAATTGAAAATACATGCATCTGAGCAACGATTAAAAAAATATAGACTTTTTTGGCAAAAGATAAAGTAGTAATAACACAAATGTTTAAAAACATCATCTGTTAAATTATTACATTGGAAGCTACTTGAGCTATCTATAGAAGAGTTGTTTGTTTGTATAGAGATGTTATGTAGGTGTTCTTTGGAACATAATAATCCCCCCTGCTATAGCTTTGATCAGCAATAATCAAATACTCTATTGTTATGTGTTTTAATATATATTCCCTATGTCAAACAAAACGATAGCACTTACAGAGTTCAAAAGGAATAGACTGATTATTTGTAAAGCATATCTTATCATTATGACTGTAAATTTGTAAAAAAGTGTGGAAGTTGCTATGTTATGTCAATTGGTGTTGGCACTTGCTCTGAACGGAAGGGTAATATGTCAATAGAAGGCTAGGAATACAGTGAAATACAGAGAGGATCCCCCTTTGATCTTCTGCCATATAGGATCAGGTGAGGTCATGGTGGAATTAATTTGTCTTGGAAGTTCTTTCTCTGATGATGACATCATGGATTCTGCAGGGTGACCTCCCCTAATCCCCACTTTGAGGCCCAGTCACCTGTTTCCCCCTTTTTATGCTGCAGTTAATGAAGATTTTGACATTAGATGATAGGGTATGTTGCATGGAATTCAGATTTTGCAACTGAATCTGCCAATGACTGCAATTTGAGGGCTATTATTGGCAGTATGATTACAGGATGGATGATTTACATTTAGTGGACCAAAAAAAGTGAAATACACTAATAATAGCAAGGTTGTTTTTAAGTCATTTTACATTTGATATTTAAATATATCAGCTGTCCTGTAATTAATAGATTTTAGAAATATTAATATATCATATGAGCTTTTGTTTAAAACCAAGCTGCTAAATAATTAATAGACTACGTAAATGAAATGTCAAAGTATGAAACAGTGAACTTACACTGCGCAACAGAGAGGACTGACATTCCAGGACTTGTTTTTCACATGGTGTTATTTGTAATATGCTGAAAGAGTAACAGACAATTGACTATCCTGTCTAGAATATTTAGAACTTTTTAATTTCGTATGACTATGATTCAGTAATTCTGTTATTCATTGAGAATAACATACTGTCATTAACCAAGGGTTTGTTTTGAGTTCTTTAACCTTACAATATCACCTGAGGATAAAAATTTTCATTTCGTAAAAATACACTCCCACCCTGATTTTGTGTCAACATCAGGTACACTTCCTTTTAATTCTGGAGCCAAATATTTTTCTTTCCATGTACAAAAGTTCCCCCTCAAAGGGAAAAATAGTGGTGTTTATGTGAGACGAAGTTTACTATGCCAAGTGTCAAAATCTCCAGTTAACAAGACAATCTCTGAATAGCTGAGCAAATATTGTTTCATATCGGTGCAACTAATATACGCAGTTCTTAAAGGATAAGGATTTGGCCCTGAACCTGCAGTTTCTGCCCTTGGTATTAGACATTTCAAATCCTAATTTAAAGGAAAATTTCTATTGTATGTTAATACCCTTGCTATGGCATGGCTGAAACAGTAGGGTTTGTTATAGCAAATTGCAGTCTGTGGTCTTCTGTGAATAGTAAGGGTTTAAAGTTATGTCTTTTTGCCTTTAGAAATGGGAAATGTACTTTGGTAATATAATTGCTGTAGAGCTATTTATTGTGATTAAATGAAGGCAATTTTAGATTTTTGGATAGTAGTGAATAGCAGATCTGTTCTCTTCAAAATAAATGCAGTTATTGACAATAACTTGAAAACATCTTAACAATGGAAGGCTAACCTTAAACCCTGATTAATGGAGCAGGGGATTGTGTGAAATTTCACAACTCTTTATAGAGAAGCTAGGAGACCCAGAGTCAACAGAAATTGATTCACTGGAATTGAATACTTTGTAGCCAAATTTACTAGTTAAATAAGTCTTTAACTTCAGAATGATTACTTTGTAAATAAGACACACAATAACTGTGCAAATTAGCATGTCTATTCTGTTTCTTTTTTTCCAGTGCCAGAAATTGGAGTCAACAGAAATGAGAATTCTACAGAGTATTTGACAAGGCACTGTTGTTAAGTGCTAGACTACAAGTTAATTAACTGTCAGAGACGACACCAGTCACTAGCATAAAGAAGGACCAGAGAGGCTTTTGTTGGAGGGAGACAGTCATTTTAGTCAGTATACTGTAAACCTGCCATGAGAGATCAATTTAAAATTCAGCAATAAAACTGTGTATTCCTTAGTAAATTCTTTTTCTTTTTTGCACTGATTGAATTGTTGATGGAGGCGTGTGTTTTTGTCAGTGTCACTAATGCTGTATCATATTGCATCATGCCTTGGACTCATTTTGTTGGTTCATCAGCAAAATGTCATACCCTCCTGGAAGAAATGTCTATCAAAACTCTGATTGTAGAAGAAAATTATAAGCTTATAAGGTTTCTCATGCCAGAAACATATCCCAAGCTCTTTCCTTATTTGGGCATTTGTAGGTTTCTGTTTTGTTTTGTTGGAAGAGGATGAAGGGAACAGGACAGACAAAATGCTTTTTTATATTTTATATTTAATGAAATTGTGGTTGGGCATTACATTACAAGGCTCCTATTTTATTGGGATTCTTTACCTTGATTTGTCTTAAGAAGGGGGTTAATTAAATTGGATCTGATTTATGTATGTTGTGAAAAAGGGTCAACATGGTTTAATCCATTTGCATTAAAACAATAATAAGGACCATTCTGAAAACTTGATATGCAGGGACTTCACTGAATGAACTATAAAACAAAAACATGTCGCAAATATTAATCTCATCTTCAGTGATTTAACTCATTTTCTTCTCTCAAAAGTAATCTTAATCATCAGAGAGATCATAAGATTTTACCAGAACTCCATGGTGATCATTTCCTAAATAACTTTTTTCCCCTGCATTGTAACTACATTTAAACAATAAAATGCTTTCTTTGGTTGTTAGTTCGGGAATTACATGTAATGTTGCAGCTGTTGCAGAAAAAAAATACATAACCCACGTAAGCGGGTTATGTGAATTTTTCTGCAATAGCTAAGGTATTCCCGTACTAACAAAAAAAGAAAGCCATTTTATTGTTTATATTTATTTCTTTAATAAAAACATTCAGAGTAAATTAAATATGTTAAATATTGTATTAAAGATGTGTATGTCATTGTATGCATAATTGATGGAACAGCCGTTCCTTAAGAAATCTATGCAGGTGGCTTGCTAAATGTTGTTTATGGACTGATTAATGGCAATGGTTTTTATAAGAAATACAGGAAATAATATTCAGTGGATGTAAATATACAAATATGATTTACAGTACTAAATTTAAAATGCAGGCTATTAACCTAAATCAACCAAATATTGGTATATTTTGTCTTTACACACATATGTATTTTGATAACTGATGGTTGTTTTTTAAGGTAATCTCATTCATTGTACTCAGATAAAACTGACTTTGGAGACAGATGTAACTCTTCATCTGAGTTTATAAGTTCATTTTCATTTGCTGTCCTTAGTCACAGAATACCCTGGTCACAAGTACTATGAGGTTTAATAAAGACTTGAGGTATCAAATCTTAATGCAATATTGAATCAAGGCTTTGAAACCCCTCCCACCTCCACATGGTTGCTTTTAAAATTCTCTCTAGTAGAAATTGCAGACTTGGTTAATTACTGTTGTTAGCGGTTTTCATTCGTTGTTATATGATTTTCAGAGAGACCATTAAAGAAGAATGCCATCATTGGTATTATCAGTGTGGAAACCCTCATATTGAGACATATTAATGTTTCAACATTCTGTCACCACAAAATGTGATGATGATCCAGGCATGAATGAAATATTCTGGATCCTTCCTTAAGATGAATGTTTCAAAAATGTGAATCCTTCCTGAAAGCAATGTCTTTTGTTTTGTGGATGGCTTATCCTCTGAGATTTTACATTTTGCACACCACAATTTGAATTCCCTATATTTAAATAGGTCATGATAATTCAGTGTCATTTAGTACCTATCCAATAATTGGCGTTTCAGGGGGGCACTCAAGGTCTTTTTAGAAAGGTTAAGGAATTAAAAATGACAAAAGAGAAAGTCGTTAAATTGATATTAACTGAAAAATGAGATAACTTGAGAGAGAAGATCACTGAAGTTCATTCAATTTTATTATTCATTCATAAGCTTGTTTATGTAGTTAAAAGTTGAGTACCGTGTAACCTTTACATAATAAAGTGTGTTGCATGTACTTTATAAAGTAATTGAATCAAGTACTTAGACCTCTGCATGTTTGATGAATTAAATCTTTATTTTGTTTGTACATAACCTATTTTGCATCTTCTCTCCATTTACTCTAGATTATAACGATTAACTACAATGAATAATTGTTTACACTGGTTGATGGCTTCCTTTTACAGTTAAAAATGTGTGTTCTCGTAATCTCTCTGAGTAAATAAAAATGGTCACCTTTTTTGGAATGAAACTGACAGAAATAGAAGATTTTTGTTTGTTTAGATGCACCGTTTATTTTACTCAGCTTTTTGCAATATAGGAGTGACTTGACAGAAAGCAGCATTTGAGATGGGTAATGTTACTTGAGCTGATCATCTCCAAATTACATTCTTCTGAGTATATCTGTCTTTGATAAGTTGTCAAAATGATGCACATTGACAGTGTTTTATTGCAAATTTACAAAAGTCCTATCCCACAAGCATTTTATGGGTCTGATGGCATCACCAATTTTTACTGAACATTTGTGCTATCTCCTGTTGTATTTGCTCTACCCACCAGTTTTATTTGGGCAAGAATGGAACTGTACCAACAAGTCTTGTAATTAGTTTAAATTATGTAAATAAAACTAGGACATTATCTATCCAGAAGTCATCATTGCTATAGAGAGCTCCGTTGGAGTGTTTGGATAGGAGATAAATTAAGTAACACCCCTAGATTTCAACTCCTTGCTGTCTTCCACCATATATGCTCCTTGTGATTCGAACAAGTGTCGTTATTTTGTTACATCTGAGAGATACTTATGTGTCAGTATCAAAGTGAATTTCACACTTTTATGTCCCTTCTTCACAACATAAAAGTTTCATCTTATCATGGAGGTGATAAAACATGCTCACATTGGCTACTGTCCTTCTCACGTAGTCTGGACCATCAGTATTGGTTGTGGTATGATATCTAAAAAATCTCAAATGTCCAGCCAGCAAGAAGGAATGCCTTTGTAATTATCTGTAAGATAATGAGAATTTGTTGAGATTCCAAGCATAGACTTGGAATCTGAACATTGGAATTTCATTGTTCCAATTGTCAAGACAAATTGGTGATGTGTTAAAGCATGTGCATTACCTTTAGATGTTTTGCTTCAAATCATTCGCAACACTTTTATGATCAGGAAATCTGGTTGTAAGACATTATTCATTACTATAAGTGTAATGTCCAGAAACATCTGTGGATATGAGGTAGCTGAATAACTGTTTGATCTAAAGATTTTTGGTCATTTTGTCCTGCTTTTGAGACAAATTCTTCCTTCTTATACTGTAGCAATCACAATTAGAGTAAATATCTGCTCAAAGAAAAGTTTATTTTCAAATTATTCAGAAGAATTAAAAAAAAATATTTTTTTGTAATTTGTCATAATAATACAGCAGTTTAAGCTGTGTGCATATGGTTCTATGGTACCAGTGGGTTTGCTGACATGAATTTCCATTTAATTAACAGGTGTTTATTTGACTGCATAACAATAGGAATCACTCATAAATAGCAATTAGATTTTTATTCTGGATGGGTAATAACCTTGTGTGCTTGGAATGTGAAAATATGCATTTTAAATCAATATTCACTATTCAAAAACTAATAAGTCTTTGAAAAGGTCTTTACTGTTTTGAAAAGTTACACCTGTTCCATTGCAAAGAAATTGCCCCCTACAATGAATTCATACAAAATTGCCAAATTATCAATTTAGTCTCATGTATTATGTCTTTGAAAACTGCACAAGGTGTTAATCAAATGGTCTGTAAGTGTTCATATTAGTGTTGTATACCATGTAGAAATTTTTTAGATATAATGAGCCAAATCAATTAAAAGAATTCCTGTTAAGTGCTCATTTTTGCACATGTCTTCTTTCAAACCTTTAATGTACTACATGGAATCTTAGTCATGATTTGTTTTGTGAATTCAAAATATTTTTGCAGTTATTTCTTTTATAAAAGTCCTTTAGTTTGCTTGATTCCAAAAAAGTCTTAATATTGTGATTAAAAAAAAACAACTGCTAACATATTTTTTTCATTAAGGTCTGTTTCAATGAACCCAAATGAAAGTGATCTATTGGTCTTAGTGCTAGCCAATCCAAACATATTATTACTATAGGCTTAACTGTTAATGAAAAAAATAATTTGTAGCCATATAGAGCACCAGTTTTACTAGACACTGATTATAAAATCAGGTTATGATTTGACTTAAAGAAGATGCAATTACCATATCGGTATCATTATCAAAGAAAGTAAGGCATGCATGTATTTGGACTTAAAATGATCAGAGTTGTGTTCACTATAAAGGATTATTAATTTATAGATTGGATAACCCATTTCATCATTTAGGTTTCTTAATCATTTAATTCTGGTTTTGGGGTTAAAAGAGTCACTCACCCCATTCTTTCAAATAACTTGTATAACTTTAGGATGGCTGATATATTTTTTTTACCAATATCTTTTGAAGTTTTGAAGCTAGTTTGTCATTTATTTTGCCCATACTTACTGAACCAGAAGTGATGAAACCATTTGCCGATCGGTCAGGTCACCTAGTCTGAATGTAATCGGCTATGTTATTGTCATATCGACCGACCGAAATTGCAGAGGTTGTGAAGGATGTATTACAGTAGTTTAGCAAAGGGGGATTATTGGTTAAGGGGAATTGAGTCATATGATTGGAAAACCTTTCAGGTGAATGACTGGAAGTCAATGGCATAAATGAAAACTGGGTGAATGTACTACCAGACTAACCACATATCTAATAGCATCTTTTGTTGGTGCTAGTGAGATCATTTTCAATGTTGTGCCCTCAGGTTTTGTTGCATGGAATAAAATTAAGGTTTAAAAACAATTGGTGGGTGGGGATTATTATTCATTGAGTTATGGAAAGTGCACAGCTTTGTTCTGGACAGATTAGTGAGCTT